ATGAATCTGAGGTAGGCAAGCAAAAGTATTTGCCAGCCCCGCACAAGTTACCTCGGACAGGGGTAGGACTAGGGTCCCTTTCTCTTCATATTCTCTGCAAGGCTTACCATGTAGTAAGTCTAGATAGTCACCTCATTTTCCAGTGATAAATTAAATCAATCACTTTGCCTCAAAGTATAAATATTCATGGGCTACATAGATCAAATATCTAATTTGAGATACTGGAGGCATTCTGCAGACATGATTTGCCAATATATAACTCACCAGAGGCTAGGATTTTTTGTCTTAATTTTTCTATTGAAATTTTAAGCATGAGGGCTAGACTAGCAGCGTTGTACATTGTAATACCATTTAAATAATAAAACACAAATTTGTCACCGTGCAGATGGCAACTGAAAATTCCACAGATGGAATTGTGGCTCTCCAGAGGAGACAGTAAACTTGTGACGGTGGGTGTAGAGAGACGGCTGTATTGGGGTGGAGAGACATTACATCATCCCAGATATGGGTTTTCTTTGGGAACCTGGCAGGATTACTGCTGAATCACTCAGCTAGGCAAATTATTGGCATGTTAGTTGTACGAAGGTCCCTGTAATTAAGCCCTTGTTCCACCACTCTCCTTGGCATCTTTCTGCTTATGTTGCCATTTAAGGCCAGACTTGAAAATGAGAATACATAAAATAATCCTATCTGCAAGAGTCAGTGGCTTAAAGTATGGAGTCAGTGCTATTTCTCCTCTCTTGCATGCACACGTATGTGTGTACGCAAATACACACATCAGAGAAACCACAGGTTCAGAGGACTTTGAACTGCAGAAAGGCTTTTGTCTCTGAGATGGTTAGAATCTTTCTCTTTGCTCCTGTTACAAATGCAAGATCTTCCCATCTGACCAGTAGATAAGACTAGCCTTGTTAAGTGTCTTGCAACTCCTTCAAAAGTACACCTGAAACTAACATGATATTGTAAATCAACTCTACTTCAATTAAAGAAAAAAAAAGAAAGAAAAGAAAAAAAGAAGAAGAAAACACAGGGGCCTTTTGTTCTGGAGTAACATGGCAAACTTTTTCTCACCTGCTGGACCACAGGATGCTGAGGGTGTATCTGGTTGGTCTGGGGGCAGTAGACTTGGGTTCTACTCTTGCTTCCGCTACTAACTTGTTACCTGGTTGTAAGGCCGTGTTGGATTCTGGGTGCTCTCCCTGCTCTGCCAGAGCTTGCTTGAAGTTCCATGTTCAGTTTCAGGGGCCTTGTTTTAAGAAGGTTCTTGGCTGGCAAACTCAGTGGTGTGCTTGCAGCTATAACATGAGACGTCCAGAAACTATGGAGAAACTCTGAAGATATGACAATAGAAATAAGTACCATTGCACAGGGCTTCTACATACATTATTTGATTTGTTCCCTCTATCAACCTTATAAGGTATTTACACTCATTTTAAAGAGATTCTAGAGATCGTAGGTCAGAGATATTAAGGCTGGTGCCCCAGGCACATTCTTTTCTTTCTTCTTTTTTGGCCACACTGCGCAGCTTGTGGGATCTTAAGTTTCCCAACCAGGGATCGAACCCGCGCCCCCTGCAGTGGAAACGTGGAATCCTAACCACTAGAACACCAGGAATTCCCTCCCAGGCACATTCTTAACCGTGTTGTTTAACAGATGGCTTAGAACTTGGAAAGGAAGTGGCAATTACAGAGGACCACTGGACTGCACCCTCATTTCCTTTCGATAGCATTACCCCATAATAAGAGCTAAGATGTATTGAGTGCTTTCTAGGTCCCCTGCACTATGCTAAGTGTTTCAATGCATTTAAGCTTCACAAAAAATCATGAAGTGGGTGCTATGATTATTTCAATTTACAGATGAGGGAACTAAGCCTTAGAGAAAGAAGCAATTTTTTTCTGGTTGTGGCTATCCCCTGTTTTTCCTCCTTTAAAAGACTCATTCTTCAGGACTCAGCTCAAAGGTTCCCAGTGAGGCTTTCCCTGCCCCCTCTCCATCATCTACGGTTGCCCACTGCCAACCTCACGTCCTCCGTCACACGCCCCCTGTTCATTTCATTCACAGGACATATTAGAATCTGTAGATAGCTTGTTTACTTACTGATGTGCTTCTTTATTTTGTCTCTACTATTCAGATATAAACTGAGGGTAGGGACTCTGTCCTCCTGATTGTCCAATACTAGTGTCTAGCAGGGTGTCTGGAATATATTAAGTACTCAATAAAAATTTGACTGAATGAATGAGTACATGAATAAATGAATGAGTATAGTCAATGGGATTTGGACATGAGTTTGTCTAATGACAGAGACAAAGCTTTAGCCCCTCTGCTCATGCATTTACTCACTCATCCTTTCAACAAGCATTTATTAAGTTTATCAACAAGTGCCAGGAACTGAGGTAGGTGATAAGAATCAAAAGAGTAAGATAGAGTCTCTGTCCTTGAAAAATCTCACCTATGAGGGGTGGAGGTAGTAGCTTGGAGGAGTGATTAAGTGAGGTTTATAAAAAAGCACAAATAAAAGTATGATGCGATATGGTTTAGAATAAAGTACAAAATGACACAGCAGGAAAGAAAGGGACCTTGGTGCCCCTGCTGGACTCGGAAGACTTCTGCAGAGAAGGTGACTTTGAACCTGACCTTGAAAGAGGACTCTGAACTGTGGAGGAGAACTCATGGTACATCTGGGGACAGCATGGAGCCTGTCTCCTGTCCTGCACTGTTGCATCACATTTTGATCACAGTGCCCAGTTGTTAGAAGGGCTACTGACCAACTGACCTTTCAGTGGAAATGTCACGGAGGGGAATCCTGCCAGGGGTAGGGGTGGGAGGGCACCAGGAGGTAGGTCTGAGTGGCCTCTCGGTGTCCTCCAACCCTAAGAGTGACATGACAGGGAGCACTGTTTCTCAGAGGAAAGTACCAAAAGACAGTACAGCATGGAAACAGCCATATTCCTGCCCTAAATATAGAGAATTTCCTAACGAGAGAGCTGACTATAACCCAAGTGCATATATTGGCTTGTAGTTTTCAAAACATCTTCTCAAACATGATCTCATTTGATCCTCCAATAGCCTGCTAGATATTCTGAGGCTCAGCGAGACCATTTATTATTCATTTATTTGGTCAACATTTACAGAGGGCCACGCCCCATCCAGACCCGGGCAGTGCAAGGGGGAAGAGTACAGCCTCTGGCCCCAAAGCACTTAAGTGCGAAGATGCAACGAGGGCACAGTGTAAAGTGCTGTGACTCCACTCAGCATGTAGGAAAGAGTTTTAGCCCCGGGGACGCATGAGCAGAGTGCTGAAGTGGTGAGTGACAGTGTGGGATCCTGAGTCAGGCAGTCTTGGGTTCAGATCCTTGCTCTGCACCCCCTTGCTCTGCCACCTTGGGTAATTAAATGAGATCGTTAAAAATAAAGGAAATGAAATAACACATGTGTACTAGTTAGGCTGTAGGCTGGCTGCTAAAACAAAGATTTAAAAAGACAGTCACTTATCCAAGATGGAAAGTGAATTGTCTTCTCTTTCATGTACACATTCAGCCAGGCTCTGTTCTAGGAAGTCATTCCGTCTCAGGCTCTTTCCACCTAGGCGCTCTGCCAGGTCTAGGGGTTTGACCTCATCTACCTGGTCCAAAATGGCTCCTTATCACGATGCATGCTGTGTTCAGGTGCAGCTTGACACAGGACCTTAAATGGTATCACCAGGACCCCATCCTCCCTCAGCGTGGCTTCCTTCTCCTCTGGACATTGGCTGCAGTCTCACATAAGCTCTCCCATCCTGGTTGCAGGAGGATTTGGGCAGCTTCCAACTTCATGTGCTCTTAACGTTCTGTCCAGTGTCTCCTTTCTAAGAGTCGAATCGGTAACCTACACTAATCCCAGTGGTCAAGTGGATGAGAGGAGTTGATTAGCTAAGACTAATTAGGGCTCCCTCACAACGGCATCGCTTAGAGTGGGGGAAGGATGAGTCCCTACATAAAACTCTCCATACTGTTTTACCAGGAGAAGGATGAATGTATGCCAGACGGTTAAAAAGAAAAAAAAAAAAATCCCTCGGGATGCCTTTCTAGTTGCTAAACGGGATGCTGCCTGATTCATGAGTCGTTGAATGAAGGCAATTGAGCTTCAAATTTACTTGGTTGAGAAAAGAAAAAGCCTCTATTCCTTCTTTCCATTAATTATATGCACTTCTAGAGTACTATAATCCACAGCAGTGGTCTTTAAACTTCACCCCAAAAGCCCCAATCTTGATTATGCACCCAACTCGTACACTTATTTCTTTGTAAGTATACATATGTGCTATTCTACTACTAACATATTACTATGGTAGAAACTGCTAGTGGCATCCCACGTCCATCCTTCCCCGCTTCCTTAGTGTAGCATTTCCTAATGGGCGCATGACATCCTACAATTTCCCAGGACGCTTTGCAGCTAGATGTGGTCACATGACTAAATTCTAGCCAGTGAATTGTCAGAAGTGTAAGGTGCAATTTCCAGGAAGTGTCCTCAATGGGAGGAACATGCAGTTCTTCCCTTCTTTCTCCTTCCTGCTGCCTCGAATGTGAACAGGATGGCTTGACCGTGAGCAACAGCCTTGGACAACGGAGTGGAAGCCACATGTTGAGGATGTGGAAGAACCAGAAAGGACACTTCACCAGTTCTGGGCGCCCCACCGCCAGACTCCATTTGCATGAGAGAGAAATAAACTTCTCTCTTGTTTAAGCCTTTGTTGTTCTCTTCTCTTCTTTTTCTTCTTTCTTTTTTTTTTTTGTTTTATAAATTTATTTATTTATTTTTGGCTGTGTTGGGTCTTTGTTGCTGCGCGCAGGTTTTCTCTGGTTGCGGTGAGCGTTGTAGTGCATGGGCTTCTCATTGCGGTGGCTTCTCTTGTTGCAGAGCGCGTGCTCCAGGCGTGCGGCCTTCAGTAGTTGTGGCTCACAGGCTCTAGAGCGCAGGCTCAGTAGTTGTGGCGCACGGGCTTAGCTGCTCCGCAGCATGTGGGATCTTCCCGGACCAGGGCTCGAATCCGTGTCCCCTGCATTGGCAGGCGGATTCTCAACCACTCTGCCACCAGGGAAGCCCCTTCTCTTCTTTCTTAATCTCAGTCAAATCTGATCCTACGTGATAAAATTTTATACGTTATAATACATGTACCAAAATACATATAACAAGAAGAGATAACTCTAAATGGAAGTTCTAATATTTCTTGAACCCCACCAGCTGGAGGTTCACATACCCCTGGGGTGCATACCTTCCCCCCTTCATTTTAGAGCCCTCTGGTCTCCTTGGCTCTGGCCCTGTGGCGCCCCGTGGGGTTAGTTGCATTTGTGAGGCCGTTTGCCTCCTGTCTCTGAATGCGCTTTGCTCTTTGAGGCAGTGACCCTGAAGTGAGGCCTCTGGATCGCCTAGCCCAGCTGCAGCAGAGTCCCTCCCTGGCCTTGCCTTTGCTGCCTGCTGACTCTGTGTCTGTTTCTATCATCCAGATTTTGCTTTTGCAATGGGGAAAGCAGACCAGAAAATGTGACGGAATCGATAAGATGAGATATGATCTGAACCCAGAGAAGTAGGCAATCCATAATTGTCAGGGGAAAAGACCTGCCTCTCTAGCCTTGCTGTTGCAGCCCAGAACTTGAGCTAATTGGCCTGGTTCTGTAGGGAAGGAGAGGGGGAAGGGAAGAGGCAAAGAGCTTTGTCATTCTAGAGCTTTCTCCGAGGCCACGGTTTTCTCTTCCCAGGAAGGCGACAACCGTGGGCCCACACCCACCTCACCACATCAGACATGGTCAGAGTGGACCCAATTCTAAGACATTGAGGCTGGGCCGGGGGAAGCTGACCCTGCCCGGTCTCTTTAGGGTCTGGGTGAGTCCATTCTCCCTCTCTTCACCCCCTTGAGGCATCAGTGCCCTGATGGTTCCACAGCTTCAAAATTCCCTGACTCATGCCATCCTCGGATTTTAAAAGAGCTTATTCAAGTGGTGTAGGCAGCGTGCTCCACCCTCCACTCAGCTCAGGAGTTCAGTACAGCACTCGTGTGTGTGTGTGCGCACACACACACACACACACACAAACACACACGCGCGCCCGCGCATGTGGGACAGAGGGACCAGAGAAGGAAGGGGCTGGAGTGGGGGAGAGGGGCTCCTGAAACCAGAAGGAAAAGTTCTTGAGGGAAACTTGTGCTGCTCTCATTATGAAAGCAATGAACTGGTGCCCCAAAGAGCGGCTGGCCCTTACCCCCTAAGTGGGCAGGTCAGAACGGGAAAGTGCTGCGTAGGTTTGCTCAGGAAAAGCAAACATGCTGGGGAGGAAAGCATCTTCTCTCTCCATCACAGTCTGAGCCGGCTGTTCTCCTACACTTCTAGGGAGCGAGGCTATCATGTGATTTGCTGGTAACCATGGCAACGAACCTTGTTCCGCGAAGTGGCGAAGTGTACGGAGAGAAATCCCACAGAAAGAGATCTGTCTCTTTCTGGATGTTGCCCTGTACCCAAGGGCAGCCCGACTCCAGCACAGTTTGTTCTCCGTCACTGCTGCGGCAATTGTTTGAGGATATGACAGTGATTTGCTCTCTTCTGAGCTGGAGACCTTGGGTTTTTTTGGTTCTCCTCCTGATCCTTGCATCCCCTACTTTGGAACAGTCTCTGAAGACGAAAGACAAAAATAGCTCTCTCCGAAGGAGAGGATGCTAATGCATGCTGTGCTTTCAGAGATGGGCTTCTCTTTGTAAAGCATGCACCTCCAGTAAGTGAAGCCTGGGGGCAAACTCTGCTTTCTTCCCTGGCCACAGAGAAAGCACTAGTGAAGCTGAGGGAGTGAACGCACTGCTCTCTGCCAGGAGAGGCCGGAGGAGTGGTCTGTACTGAGGAAGCCTAAACAGCAGTGAGTGGGGTGCCGCCAACCTGACCGTGGGCACTCACCACTCCCCTGCTCGCAGGTTTACCGGGAGGAAGTGGCTCTGATATTCTCTGTTGCAAGCAAAGGACAAAATTATAATTTGGGGAAACGCACATTGTTAAATGATGCAGCCAAAAGACGGCTGCAGAGTGATGGGCACACACAAGGTGCCCCCTCTGAGCTGCAGCTTCCATCTGCCTTTAGGAGACCACATAGTGGGCGTTGCCTTTTCAGTGGGATGTCATCACGTTTATTGCCTCGGTGACCTTGAACGAGCCACTGAGACTCTTTGGCTGTCAGCTTCTCCATCTTTAAAAGAGGCAGAGTAATATTTCTGTAGACTTTCTCACTGGGTTTTTGTAACAATCCCATTTGATAATCTAAGGGAAAGGAGTTTAAAACTATAAATCTCTATGTGGTACCATTATCCTTCTTCTCAGTTACAGAAATATCCATTCTTAAAGGATTCTGAAAGTTGGAATGAGTAAGTAAATTAGGTCAAAAAACTATCATAGTGCAAAGCCATAGCTGTTACCAAGATAGTGTTTTTAGCTAATGTTTAATGAATGCAAAGCAAATCGCACACTGCCTGTAACCCTAACACCCCCGCTGGTATGACAGTTTCCATTTTACGGATGAGGCCCAAATTCACATAGCTGGTGAGAGAGTTGGGATTCACGTCCTGGCCAGTCTGATTCCCGAGTCTAGGGTCTTAACTGCTGCTGGGGCCTTGTGCTGGGGGAAATTCACTGCAACATTTCCACACTGCTGGAGTTACGTCAGCAGGTGGTTTCCTGTCAGTTCACAGAGCGGCATGGGGGTGTGTATGCGTTTATAAAGAGGGGGCTGTCTTCCTTCCCCATCTGGGCGGTACCCATTCATCCCATGCAGACATGACCGTCTCTTGGTTCCTCATGGAAAACTCCAGTAGCTAACAGCTGGACTGCCTGGGTTCCCCCTCCTGGTACTGTTGAACCGTCAGGCCTTGCCCTGTTTGCTCTTCCAGAGTCATTCTTGACTTTTCTCACCCTGCTCATGGCCTGAAGGCCCACCCCTCTGGACCACGTGGTTGCGGTTGCCTTTGGCCACTGTGGAGCCCTGGCAGGAGAAGAGTGAGGCCAGGGAGTTTGTTCTTCCAGCTCCCTCCCTCCTGGGTGGCTGCCGCAGGAGGGATAAGGACTCCAGCTGTCACCAGCCCCAGGGACTACACTATTCCTTGCAGGGTTCCTTAAACCCTGCTCAAACTTTTATAAAATCCCTTTATTAAACATTCCTCAGTTCCCCAGCTTGGGTGAGCTAATCTGTCCCCTTCTGGGCCCCTGCCTGACACAGTAAAACAACTTCTCCCTCCTAGGACTATTATGGGAATGAAAGGAGCCCGTGAGTGTAAGTGAGAGAGCTGTGTGCTCCATAGGGGCCAGAAGGTGAAAGTGGGATGATTGCCTCCCCCAGTGCCTCTGTGGGCATCATCCTCTCCAGGGGAGAGAGTGGCCGGCAACCTCACCGACTGCCCGGCAGCCTGGCTTGTCCAGGAGCCCAGCCTCCATTCTTCCTCAGGCGTTGGCTGGTTTGCAGTAGGAAAACAGTGCACACTGAATAAATAGAAGTCGATGATTTATACGATGTGAAAAAGGAAACAAGAACATTAAGCTCATTGAAGGTGAAAATGAAAAATCAAATAAGTGCATATAGCAGTTATTCATTTATCCTAAAAATATTTATTGAGCACCTGCCATATGCAAAAGATGGAGCAATGAATAATACAGACCTGGCCCCATTTTCTCACAGAGCTTGCACTCCAGTAGGGGAGACATACAGCTAAATAAAGGATACTGAGAAATCTTTTCCCATTTAATTAAAATTGTGGGGAATTCCCTGGTGGTCCAATGGTTAGGGCCCCGTGCTTCCACTTCAGGGGGCACGGGTTCGATCCCTGGTTGGGGAACTAAGATCCTGCATGCTGCACGGCACAGCCAAAAAAAAAAAAAAAAAAATGTGTTGCAGAAGTTGGAATGGTGGTGAGGGAAGTGACTGTCAGTTCAGTACTTACTATGTGCCAGGTACTGGGTAAGGCATTTCATTTGTATCATCTCATTTAATTCCACAACATAGGGTAGAGTCATCCTTTTTCTGCGATGAGGAAGCTGAAACCCAGAGAGTTTATCTGATTTACCAAGGTCAAGGACCATTCAAAAAACATTTATAGAGCACCTGCCTTGCTCTGTCCCTGCTTTTCAAGAATTTACATGTGGTAGGAGAGATAGGTATGCAAACAGATATTTATCAAACGCTTGGTTATGTGTGGTGATAGTGATGTGTTCAGGGCATAAAGGGAGCGCTGGGGGGGTCGGGGGGATTCTTAGCCTCACGTGAGATGTCAGGAAAGACTTAGGGAAGGGAAGGTCTCAACTGAGTTCTAGAGTTGATAATAGCCAAGTTGGAGGTAAGAGAGAGCAGGGGTCTCTTGGACAGAAGGGGTTCCATAAACAAAAACAGGCTGCAGAGCAGGGAGTGTGGACGGGGAGCTGTAGGCAAGGGCAAGGCTCTGGCGGAATCTTATTTTATAGCAAGAAACGTGGACTGAAAATCCTATACCTTACCTTCCAGGTAAAGAGTTCAAACAGAGGAGTAACATGGTCAGTTTTGGGTTTTAGATACATCACTCTGGCTGTTATGTGGAGGACAAATTTGAGGTGGACACGAATGGGAGCAGAGAGAGAGACTTCAAGAAGCTTAATTGTCATCAAGGCAAGAGATAGTAAGACCCCAATGGAGGTCAGAGGTCCAAGTGGTGGAGAGGAGGCAACTGTTTGGAGAACTACTTTAAAAGGTAGTGTCAGGGACTTCCCTGGTGGTGCAGTGGTTAAAAATACACCTGCCAATGAAGGGGACATGGGTTCGATCCCTGGTCCAGGAAGATCCCAAATGCTGTGGAGCAACTAAGCCCGTGCGCCACAACTACTGAGCCTATGCTCTAGAGCCTGAAGGCCACAACTACTGAGCCCATGTGCCACAACTACTGAAGCCTGCACGCCTAGAGCCTGTGCTCCGCAACAAGAGAAACCACCATAATAAGAAGCCCGTGTGCCACAACTACTGAGCCTGTGCTCTAGAGCCCACAAGCCACAACTACTGAGCCCATGTGCCACAACTACTGAAGCCCGGGTGCCTAAAGCCCATGCTCCGCAACAAGAGAAGTCACAGCAATGAGAAGCCCGCGCACCACAACGAAGAGTAGCCCCTGCTCGCCGCAACTAGAGAAAGCCCACGTGCAGCAACAAAGACCCAATGCAGCCAAAAGTAAATAAATAAATAAATTTATTTAAAAAAATAAAAAAGATAACAGGGTTCCATAACTTCTAAGCCACCATCCCACACAAATCAGGTGCTGGGTAAGCATTGTATGGAAATTGAAAAAATAATAATAATAAAGGTAGTGTCAGAATGTAATGATTGGACTGGCTTTGTGATGAGAGGGAGAGAGAGAGAAGCTTCTTCCCAGTCTAGGTGGTAGACGGATGGATGTCAGGGTTACCAATTGAAATGGAGAATGTAGAAGAAAAAACAGATTTGGGAGGCAGAGGCATGATGGCTATTGTCTGGACCCGTTGCACCTCTTGTCCCATGTTATTGCTATAACAGACCCAAGAAGTAGAGCCATGACCTAAGCTGGCCGTGTCAAGTTCACTCCTGGAAACTTGAATCTATGCAGTGACCTGGTTCTCGCCTCCAAACACTGGGCTGTTCAGTGATTGCTTTGACTCTAGGAACTACCTTGCAATCCTTCCGACTACTCTCTTCTATGCATAGGCTAGTCAGCATCAGTCCCTGTTGCTTACAACCAAAGAGCACTAATGAGAGATGAATTCAGCTCTGGACATGGTGGGTTTCAGGCCCATGTGACAGCCGCCACGGGAAGACCAGCACCTCCAGGGAATACGAATCAGGGGAAAGGTCTGGGCTGGAGTTATCCACATACGAATCATGGTTGAAACTAAGAATGAATCAGACCACTGAGAGAGGGGTGTGTGTGAGAATATGGGTGGGCAGAGGGCGGCACCCAGGACAACAAGAAGTAAAGGCCGGGAGAGGAAGAAACAGGAACTTAAATGTTCAGAGAGAGCCCAGAAGAACCAGGAGAGCGTGATTTCATAGAGACCAAAGGAATAAGAGTTTAAAGAATGAATAATTGAAGGTTTCACATATAGGCAAGGGGCCAAAGTAAACAAGGGGCTGAACTTTGACTTGACAAGTAGCTTGTTGATGATCCAGGGGGTAGCATGGAGGGAGGAGTAGGACGGAAGCCAGACTGTGTGAGGATGCAAAGCATATGGGACGTTAGGGAGAAGGGGTAGTGCTCTGGCGAGTTTTACATGAGAGACTAGATCTGAGAAACTAGATAGTGATGGGGAGGGGGCAAGGTCAAGGGAGGGGTGTTTTTAGGAGCTCCAATCAGGATTAGCTGACTCAAAGCCCAAGCTCCTGGGACTTCCCTGGTGGTCCAGTGGTTAAGGCTCCATGCTCCTAATGCAGGCAGCCCGGGGTTCGATCCCTGGTCCGGGAAATAGAGCCCACATGCCACAATTAAAAGATCCCACATGCCTCACCTAAGACCCGGCGCAGCCAAATAAATAAATAAATATTAAAAAAAAAAAAAAAGCCTGTGCTCCTTCCATTCAAAATCTGCTTTCCTGTGCCTGGAGAGAAGGGGGGGTTGACTGGTGAAAAGAGCCCCGGCACAAAGAGTATTCTTTTCAGGTTGGTGGTTTTGTCTGCTGTCAGATGACCCTTTGGGGCTTCATATCTGAGTGTGGGAGGGGCTGAGGAGCATTTGGAAAGCTGACAAAAGGACAAAAGCAGGTGGATTTCCTGCGCCTATTTCTGGCCTGACTTGGTTCCATATAGGCCCCAAACCAAAACAACAAGAAAAAGAGGAAAACTTGATTTGCTCTTTTATATTCAAATTATAAGCCCCTCTGCCCCTCCCCCCCAACACCAAATTCAGGGGGAAGAAAACAAAAAAAACAAACAAAACAAAACCTCAAACCATTCCTGGGAAATGAATTCGTATTAGAAGGACAGTAACTGCCCTGTGTTGTTCGGGGAGTTTGTTCCTTCAAGGAAGACATGGCTTGGCAGGTCCACTGTGCTAATGCTTCAGATAGACTTTTTTTTTTCTTTTTTTTTTTTTTTTTTTTTTTTTTGCGGTACGCGGGCCTCTCACTGCTGTGGCCCCTCCCGCCGCGGAGCACAGGCTCCGTAGGCGCAGGCCCAGCGGCCATGGCTCACGGGCCCAGGCGCTCCGCGGCATGCGGGATTCTCCCAGACCGGGGCACGAACCCGTGTCCCCTGCACCGGCAGGCAGACTCTCAACCACTGCGCCACCAGGGAAGCCCTAGACTTTTACTTTAGATATTTATTGGCAAAGGATGGATGAAATAGAGTTGAGTCAATGACAAGAGTTTTAAAAAATCATTTTAAAATTCCTTGATATTATAAAACTTCTATATGCTCGTTGGAGGAAGTTTGGAAGATACACAAAGACCTAAGATAAGCTGAAGTCCCACCCCCAGGAGGACCATCTTGGAATACTTCTTTCTAGTCTTTGTATCTAGGGGCAGGGCCAATTTTTGAGAGCTGTTTTTATGGCCGATCCACTAATGTCCGTTGCAAGGCCATTTCCGGAGCGACTGTACGCCAGGATCCTACCCACGGTGTGTGAGGGGAAGGGAAAAGGATGATAGGTGCAGGGAAAGAATGGTCTAGTGCTAACATCTATGGCAGAAAATAGCAACAAGAGAAAGGCTGAGTATGCCCCAGAGATAGATCTGGAACCCAGATCTCCTGACTGCAGTGTCAGAACCCTTTGCACCAGACAGATGGCTCTCATGTTCCAGGTATGCCTTGCTTTAAGAAACCTGACGTCTGGGGTATCACTTGTATTTCGGTTGCTGTGGCAGGTTGGATTCTTATTCTCTAGTCTCTCCTCCTCCCATCGTGTGACCTTGTGGTGCCTCCTGGTACAGCTGGCCTACTTCCCTGCCCCATTGTCTTTGGACTTGGCCACGTGACTTGCTTGGGCTAACAGAAACATTAGCGTGGGTGATGGGAGCAGGGGCTTTAAATATGCTTTCTTTTTTTTTTTTTTTGAAGAATTTTTTTTTTTAACGTGGACCATTTCTTAAATGTCTTTATTGAATTTGTTACAATATTGCTTCTGTTTAATGTTTTGGTTTTTTAGCTGCAAGGCATGTGGAATCTTAGCTCCCCAACCAAGCATTGAACCCGCACTCCCTACACTGGAAGGCAAAGTCCTAACCACTGGACCACCAGGGAAGTCCCTAAATATGCTTTCATGGCTTGGTCTCCAGCACTTCTGCCATCTGCCACAAGATGAATTTGCCTATCTAGCCTCTGGTCCCTGAATGAGGAGACACTTGGAATAGACCTGAACACAACTGGCAGCTTCAGCTGAACCTATCTGGTTCCAGCCATCACAGCCAATCTGCACACCCATAAGCAATAAATAAATGCTTATTGTTGTAATGCACTGAGATTATGGGGCCGTTTGTTACACAGCACTTGAGTAGCAGACACCTGACTACTATAATGGCTCAGATGTGCAACTTTAGTCATCTCTGACATTTGCATTTCCTTTATCCTCATAGCTATTCTTTGTCAAGCACTTGTAAGCTCCTTTGAACCATCTTCCAGATGATTCCCACTCCACTGTCCTCCCCCTTCATCACTTTATACTTGACTTCCTGCAAAGGCTTCTGTTTTTTCAGAGCTGAAGCAGCCCAGCAACTCAGAGCTAAACTTTGTGCAGTTTTAATAACCAGGCTTAGCCTAGGGTTCTGGTACAATTCTTTCCCCTGCTTTCCATAGGTCTTATCTTTTATCTTTATGGGATGGTCCTAGGGATTGTGGGTCATTTTAGTTTAATTCTCCTCAAGTCATTTTTTTAGAAGTAACAAATATAAAGTTCTCTTCACATTAAGGTCAAATTTCTCTCCTTGATTTTCCAAGCCCTGCTATAATTTGGCCTCACTTCATCCATTATTTAAAACAAAATAATAATCATACTTATCCAGCACATTGAATTGCTTACTATGTGCCAGACATCACTTTGTCTTTCACATTGTATAGGTTAAGATTAGGTTCAACCAGGTAATAAAGGCCCCAAATCACAAAGGCTTACATAAGATAGTCGTTTCTCTCTCTCGTATAAAAGCACAGAAGTAGGTAGCCAGGGGCTGCTATAGTAGATTTGCTTGTGAAGTCTTCAGGGACAAAGGCTTCTTCCGGCTCACAGCTCCACCATCCTTACGGTGTTGCCCTTATCCTCAGGTCTGAAAGGGCAGCTAGGATGCCAGATATCACATCCACATTCCAGGCAGCAGGCTGGAAGAAGGGACAAAGAAGACAAAGGGAGCAAAGAGTACATGCTAGCTGGCCTTTCCAGGTAGAAGCCAAGTAGCATCTGCTTATATCTCACTGGCCATAGTTACATGGCCAGGCACAGCTACAAGGGAGGCTAGAAAGTACAGTTTTTATTCTGGGAGGCTATATGCCCAGCTAAACATTGGAAGCCATTACTATGGAAAAAGAGGAAAAAGGGTATTGTGGGGTAACTAGCAGCCTCTGTCTCAGATATATTCACTCATTCAATCCTCAGGACAATCTTATGAGATAGATACTATTCTTATGTTCACTTTACAGATGGGGCAACTGAAGCATACAGAGGAAAACTACCTTGGCCAAGGTCACACAGCTAGGATGAACTCAGGCAACCTGCCTCTGGAAGCTGTGTTCTTCACCCCCAAGCTACCCAATTTCCGTGGGAATGAGCCTGCCCACCTGACTCAGGTAATCCCTCAGCTGAGGTCTCCTCTGTCCCATCCACTGCCCCTCAGGACCCAGGTTCAGGCCTTGCCCTGTCCTCCTGTAAATTCTCCCCCGTGGCTTCACTGTCCTGGCTCACAATGCCCAAGAGGGAGAGACACAGTTTTTGCAGCATCAGAGTACCTACTCCATCTAAGGAGTTCGATGTAGTGATTAAGAGCTTGGGCTCTGGAGTCCAGCAGAGTGAAGTTTGAATCCTGTGTGACCTTGCACAAGTCACTTGACCTCTCTGTGCTCAGTTTCCGCTTCTATAAAGTGGGAGATATGAGGGAACCTGCCTCATAGGACCATTATGAGGGGCCAATGCTTAGTACAGGGAAGCTTCTGTGATTCTGCCAACATTATAGACGCTCCCACATTCCAAACAGAAGTGCTTTAGACACACAGAGGAGGGGGGACATTTACTGGAGGCCTTTCCATTTATGCCTCCCTCTCTTCTATCAGGGATCTGCAGAGGCTGCTTGAGAATGTTCATCTGTGGCTCTGATCCTTTAGACATGGCCCTGAATGACCAGGAGGAGTTACAAGTTACGAATTCCTTGATTTGCAATACAAACTGGCCACCAATGGAATCTGCTTAGTGGGGAAAATGCTAGTATTTAACAAATGTGAAGAAATACCGTTCTTGGACAGAACACAAAGCAACAACGGTATCCACCAAAGAGAACGACTTTTATTATTACACAAAACATTTCCTATCGGAGCACATATAAATCCAGAGAACAGCTGCATTTTCAAAACAAACAGATTAGATATCTTTGATGAATTGAGTGGGGTGGGGACTGGGAGACAGGGGAAAACGAAGCACATGATTTTTTTTTTTTTTTTTTTTTTTTTTTGCGGTACGCGGGCCTCTCACTGTTGTGGCCTCTCCCGCCGCGGAGCACAGGCTCCGGACGTGCAGGCTCAGCGGTCACGGCAAAACGGGCCCAGCCGCTCCGCGGCATGTGGGATCTTCCCGGACCGGGGCACGAACCCGCGTCCCCTGCATCGGCAGGCGGACTCTCAACCACTGCGCCACCAGGGAAGCCCTAAGTACATTATTTTAAAATTTGGTAATGCTTTTACTGAATTTAAACAGAAATGAAAATTAGGACAGAGTGAGAAAAAAACACTTGTTCGTGAACAAAATGCCTTCTCAGGAGCAGAGCTTACTGTGATGCTCATTGTTTTATGCAGGAAGAACTCGGTTCTATCAGTATTTCCTGGGCTTGGGAAGAGGCAGCAACACCCATGCCTGGCACGGCAAAGGCTTCCTGGAGCCCACTTTTCTGAATCCCTAAGGTGGCTAAGCTAATGTGCTCCCCAGATCTGCCCTTCCCCTCCCCAGCAGCCTTCAGCCAAGCTCTGTTTACTCTCTCTTACATCTGTTCCTTCCAACCCATTCTCACTGCTCCCACCCTTATTTTCGCACATCGGGGCTAGTGTTGTAGTTTCCAGACAGTTTATGGGAACCTTTCCTCTCCATCCCACTATAATCACACAGCTAGAGTCTTAAAGGCTGACCTTTTGCCCATCGTCCCTCTGACTGTATTCTTCTGACCATTTTCAGAGGTGGAGAAGTCTCTCAAGACAGCCCATTCCTCCTTTAAGAGTTCTAGTTTTTTCTTCTAAATTCAAATCTATGCTTCTGATAAGTTCCACGCAGCTGAGATAGAATTAATCCATTGACTTCCTCTTTTACAGTTTTTCTTCTCACATGGAATTCTTTTTCTCCTGTAGCTGATTGTTAATTGTCTTCCCAATATCTATTTTCTCCTTCAAAAGTAATAGTTTTAGCTGGGCATGAGGCTACCAGGGAAGGACTACATTTCGACTTCCTTTAGGCTGGGTGTGGTCACATGACTAAGTGCAGGCCAGTGTGATATGAATAGAAGCCATATAAGCAACTTCCTGTTATGTCCTCAAAGTGACTGAGTGGTACATCTTGGTCTCTATCACCTTTCTGGCTGGGAATGGTGAGGACGGGGGCAGTCACCTTGAACCCGCTAGTGGAAGCCTCATCCTGAGGACAGTGCAACTCGGTTGGACCACCTGCCACCTCAAGCACTGAGAGAGAAATGAACTGTCACTGCGGTAAAGCCTCTGTATTCTGGACTCTCTTTGTTACAGCAGCTTAGCCTGTACCTTAATCTCCTCATGTCCATTTAAGACAGTCCTACTCTGTAAGGCTTCACTCAACCAGAAATGTACCTCTCCATCCTCTGACTCCTTTTGACCTACCTCTCGTGTTAGGCCTCATACTTTACCTTGTACATGAGTCTTATTTGCTCCCTGAAGTTCAAACGGGACAAGGGGCCAAATCCTAATCAACACTTTATATTACACAAAGCCTAGTATGCTGCCTTACACTTGAATGGTTGTCAACGAACGAATCAAACGAATGCAGAGATTACACTTCAATGTCTATGTACGCAATGAATTATAACAAAATATAGGCATATGTGCTTAAATAACCATATCCAAAGACTGCAAGATAAGATGTCACTGTCAAGGGACTTCCTTGGTGGTCCAATGGTAAAGAATCTGCCTTCCAATGCAGCGGATGTGGGTTTGATCCCTGATCAGGGAACTAAGGTCCCACATGCCACGGAGCAACTAAGCCCACACGCCACAACTACTGAACCCACGCTCCCTGGAGCCTGCACATCACAACTAGAGAGGGAAAACCCGCACGCCACAACTAGAGAGGAGCCCGAGCGCCACAACGAAGAGACCTCACGCTGTAACGAAAGATCCCGCAGGCCGCAACAAAGATCCCGTGTGCCACAACTAAGACCAAATGCAGCCCAAAAGTAAGGAAAATAAATAAATAATTATTTTATTTTATTTTTTTAAATGCCACTGTCAAGCTAGAGAGTGAGATGCCAAGCTGGCAAGCTACTGGTCTTTCTCCTGTTCAACATTTGTATCAACAACTGCAGTGAAACAGTCAGCATACCCATCACACCTGTGGGTAACACAATGGGACGCCACTAAACTAGATAAAAGAACCAAGAATCAGAAAGATCTGTACAGACAAGAACGAGGGATGAAGATTAAACTCTAACAGGTGAAGTTTCTGAATATCAAGAATACGATGTGACGGCCAAAAAATGTTAGTGCAATTCTGGGCTGAACAAATTTAGTCAACAACTACTTATTGAGTGCCTCCTAAGCACGAGGTGTTGTGTGGGAGACGAGGATGAGGAAGGGGTGACCCATTTGCGAGGCGCTTACAAAGACATGGCACATGTCCCACCCACAGTGCCAGGTAGAAAGAAAGCATTTGGTGCTGCAGGAGCAAAGAGGTGGGAGCTTGGCACAAGTACGATGAAAAGGGAGTAGCTGAGTTTAGCTTGAGTGTGGGCTCGTGAAGAGCACGGAGCGCTAAGGGAGGAGAGTTGGATACCAATCTGCAGTGTTTCCGCAGTGCCAGGCTAAGGAGATTGGGATTTATGTGAAAGGAGGGGGCAACTGAAGGATTTTGCAGAAAAAAAAAAAAAAAGATCAGTATTTTAGGAAGATTTCTTTGGAAGCAGTCTGTTCAGCAGATTGGAGTGGGGAGACACATAGAAGATTAGAAATGGAGGCATCTCTTTAGAGACTGTCTTGTTCAACATCTTCATTTTATAAGTGGAGAAACGGAGGCCGAAGATATAAGTCATGTACCTAAAGCCAAAGAGCTGGCAGACGCACAGCAGAACCAGAATCCAGAACTGGGGGCTTCTTGGTCCTGGGGGAGACAAACCAACAGCAATTAGACCTTGCATAGCAATTGAAGTTTAAGAAAGCATTTCTGGAGAGACTTGAGGCAAGAAAAGCAGTTAAGGGACTATTTCCACAGTCAAGGAAAAATATGAGTAGTAGAAGTAAGAAGAGAGTAAGCTGTGGGAGAAATTGCGTGGATGCTGGGGGTTGGGAGAGAAGGAGAGGCAAAGCGACTGCGTTTTTAGGGCTGGGACACACAAAGGACGGCAGTGGGACTCATGGACACTGGAAACATAAGGATGAGGAACAAGTTGGAGGAGTCCCGTTTTGGGTGGGTCCCATCTTAATAAAACTGGAATGTGTCAAAGGAATATGTCCAGAAGATGGTAACTAGAAAGCAAATCACAGGAAGGTGTGACAGAACTGCTTAGTCTGGAGAAACCTAAATTGATTGCTAGAAGCAGAGTTGAGAAGATTTCTGGAGAGATATGGTAGCTGGCTTCACATCTTAACATTTTACAGAACATTCGTGAAACTGCCTCCTAATTAGCATGGCACCAGCGGAGGGTGCTGCAGGGCACGGGCCAAATGATCGGGGTAAATAATCTCCTCTCTGTGAAGCATTGTAGCAGGAGCAAAGGCTTTGCAGTCACACAGACCTGGGTTCTAGGCTCAGCTGTGAGCTGTGTGACTTTGGGCAAGTTGCTGAGCCTCTCTGTGCCTTAGTTTCCCCAGATCCAAAATAAAGAGGCTAGATTGGAAGACTCGAAAGATCCAGTGTAGATATAAAATTCCTTGGTACCAAAAATGTGGCTTATGTGCATAAAATAAACAAATGGAAATTTTAAGGTTATCTTATTTGGATTTTGCTCCTGAACTTGTACTAATACTGGTGATGGGTACGAACAGCCAGCTTGCTTCTGTTGCACTCCACGATGGCATGTAATGATGGAAAAGAGCTGACATGTTCACAAAAGCACTTTTCTCTGTGGGTAGGAGTGGGAAAGAGTCCCATTTAGCTGATATCACTAATTTTTAAAGAAAACCATATGAGCTAAAGAGAACTGAAGATGAATGTGGGAGCTATGAGTCAACCACTGAATTTCAACTGCATTAATTTTACATTATAAATGACACAGTTTTAAAGTTTCTTAGATTTTATAAAACTTGTGATTTTTCTTTAAAAAACCTCATCCAGATACATGCCAGTACATGTTAAAAAAAATACTGAACATTTATCCCCATCCTAAAGCATCTTTAAAACAATGACTATGCTCTTAGCTATTTTCAATACAAAATCCATTCTCTAGCAGCCTTATAAACTGATAACAATACTTTTTGTGAAAACTAGCTTCTTCTTATAAAAAACAGTCTGTTATCCTTGTGTGATTTTTTTTTTCCTTTTCAAATTGTTTTGTAAGAAATAATGTTGCTTAAAAACATCCAGCATTTCCATTAGCAAGGAAATATTCAGAAGGCTTCTGGATAAGCAATACTTACATATAGTTCCTTTAATCTTAGATATCTAAGTTTCAACGGCAGAAATGAGAGATTGCTTTCCTTTACTGTGGTAGAATCAAAGTGGCATTACAAATGTTCAGGTAGAGAACTAAAATGTAAGACCTAGAGATTATATAAGAGAGATCCGTGTTTGCCATCCACGCCTCAAAGCAAAACAAGACCCAGAGGCAGAAAAGCATTTCAAAGACTGACTTAGAGGACTAGGGAAAATACTTCTATCAAATCAAATTTTAGGACAATCTTGAACTGTGGCAAGAAGAAAAGAACACTGTTAAAAATAAATATTCCTTCTCTTTTAACCACAGACAGTTCTGCAACATCTTACATTAGCAACACAGACAGACTGGACCCAGTTTTAGTTCATTCGCAGTCACTTAACTGCTCCCAGCCTCAGTTTTTTTCATCACCAAAATGGGGGTGATGTTATTGCTATTTATTTACTGCCAGGGTGAGCGTGAGGCTGAAACGAGACCATGCATGTGAAACGCTCTGTAAACCATACAGCACTTCACTTCACACCAGGGCTGTTCTGGTGTGGGTGGAACCCGCCTGCTCACGGCCATGCTAACGGCCTGGAAAGAACTAGGAACTGTTGTCTAGTAACACACGCTGCTGGTATCAAAACTGCAATGGGCATTCAGTTAGAAATAGCATTATTAAGGGGAAAAACTCTGCTCTGCCCGTCGTGACAGCGACAGGGTGCTGCTTCTTGGCGTAGACCTGCCACTCAAGCTAAGTTCCATGCAGGTAGAAAGATTCACCATGTGGACCGAAAGGACAGAATTGTCTCCGGCTTTGGGGGTTTTTTTTTTTTTTTTTTTTTTTGGTAACAGAAAGCAGAATTCTCTTTGTTTAAAAAAGAATGTGGGGGAAGGAGAGTGTATGTGTGTTGTTCAAAGGCTTGAGAAAATGGTTTAAGCAGCTGGAGGAATAAAGGAAGGAGCACTGAGGAAAGGATGTGCAAAGTCTAAAGGTGGAAGCGACCAGGAATGGATTGCATTTTGGTGACAAGTGAGGCAGGTAATGGTGAGAAGGCAGGATGCTCGCATATTGAAGAGGCGCCCTTGGAAAACAGGCTTTTCCTTTTAATTAGCTTTGCTGCTGGAAGAATCTCCTCCTTCCAGTTCCTGACCATTCTCCCAGCCCAGAATCTTGTTTGCCGTCCTCACGTATCCTAAGGGTGCTGTGGGCCGGCTCTGATTGGGGGCGGGTCAGTAACTGCACGGCCACTTCACACACTGGGCCCAGAGTCCCAGGAGGAAGAGCTCCTGCGACAGGGAGTGTTCCCCCTCTAAAGGAAAACCAGGGGGAGCACAGCCTTTTTGATGGTGACTTAGACACTTTTTAAGCCAGATGTCGTTCTTCGGATGAGGTAATGATTCCTCCCTCCCTGGCCCGCCCACTCCCCCTCTGAAATGTTCTATTTTCCAGGAATATGCTGGAGAGACTACTTGTTGTTCCCCAAAGTCTGTTCCCTTCCTCCCTCTTAAGAGAATCTGCTTTTACTGGTTGCCCAAAATAAAGACAACATTTCCCAGCTTTTCCTGTGGTTGGTTAAGCGCTGGGAGCATCTTCTGGGGAGGCAGCATGCTCTGCCTCTCTCTCCTGCCTGGGCCGAGGATGTGGACATCTCGACCATGCCGATGAGGGCCATCCCCTAGGAATGATGAAGCAGTAAGACAAGGGGAGCTTCAGTCTCTGACATCATGGAGCCACTGTGTAAGTCCTAGATGGCCAACCTTCAGCCTATTAGTAAGAGAGCAATAAACCTCGATATTGTTTAAGCCACTGATACTGTAGGTGTCTGTTAGAGGCAGCGGAACCAATAGTCTAACAAATGCATCTTCTTGACTCAGTTTTACCTTCTTACTCTGATGATTTATATTCAGAGTATTTTTAACTTTGTCTACATCTGGGGTAAAGACATTTTTGAAGGACCCAGCAGCTCTTCAATAAATATAGTTTTTTCCAACACTATTCCAGCAAATTCATGTGATTGGGAAATTAGTCTACTAAGTAGGGATAAAAACGGGGGTTTTCACAGGAGATCGTTTGGGAGAGCGAGCGTATCCAAAATATAGTCCTCGGCTACATCTGCAGAATGCTATTAGGGCCTGTCTGCTCAATTACGAGCTGGTGAGCCTGCGCAGAGACAGAGAATGTGGACGCACACGCATGACAGCAGGCTGGGCCCTGGACACCTACAGGGGAACAGAAATCAGCTCGGCTGTGCTAAAATGGTTCTCCACAATATCTGGATAAGAACTGAGCACAAGTGAGTCACCAAAGTTAAAGATGAAAAACAACAGCTGAGGCTGGACTAAGAGACCAAGGAGCCAAAGCCAAGTCTGTCATATATTATTTTACAGTGTTACAGGGAAAGGGAGAGGTTTTGGAAAGGAGCAATGTGGAAGAATCTGCGTTGGGCTAAGCCCCCCAGATATGTGTGTGTATATATGTGTATATGTGTATACATACAGTATTCCAGGGTTAGAGGATAACATCACTTTGGACAATATTCTTAACGTAAAAATTCATTTCCATAATAAAGAATTTAACAACTATAGCTTTCAAAGAATCTTAGAAGTAGAAAGAAGACCCCTTGGGATATGGTTGTTCAAGCAGCTGTAAATTCACACAAACTGCATAATAACTCAGTCTTCATTCCACCACCATAGAGTGAGGATATTCTGAGTAATCTTGTCAGATGTAGGGATAACCTCCATCACCAGCACGCCCCCCTAATTTACCCAAATAGGAATGGTCTACCCTTCCTTACTGATTCCTTTTTTAATGAAGTTTCATAAATTGTCTTTTTAATTAAGCATTCTACATTTTTTTCAAGGAACACAGATTCAAACTCATTGGCTTGTATCGTCCATGAGTCACCTTTTGGACAACCGGGTTGCTGTGTTCTTGGGTCCTGTCTTTGGGTCACTCATTTCTCACGAGCGGTGAGAGCTTACGGCTACTCAGTTATATCTGCAAATCTTTTCAGTGCCCTGAAAGCAAGTTTTTAGGACCTAGAGACCAATATATTTTGTACAGCCACTTATATGGAGTGTTGTTCTCTTTTAACCATGTTTGTTTCATCCTTTCTAATTCTGAGAGCACTATTTTTGATGGAGAAGAAATGGAGAGGAGTTATCTGTTGATTTGAAAAGAAACAGCTATCATGTAGAATAGAGCCTTTAAAAAAGTGTTACATTTTTCTAACATTTAAACAGCAGTGGTTCTCCACCCTGGCTGCACATCAGAACTGCTTAGAAAGCTTAAAACAAAAAAAAAAAACACGAGGAAAACCCCACAAAACACAAAAATACCGTGCCTGGGGCCCCACTCCAGATATCCTGACTTAACTGGTCTGAGGTGTGGCCTGGGTATCTGTATTTTTCTAATGTGCAGGATTGCAAGAATCACTGCAAATCTAACCATTAGAAAGTATAACTTTTTTTTAAAGGCCTTATTCTATAGGTAATCTAGAGGGCCCACAAGTTAGGTTGCAGCCATGCTTTGGCAGATAAAAAGGCATTTTCAGGCTGTAAGCCCACACACTCATGAGGGCCCTGGGCAACAAGGTGCTGGCAGGCTTGACTCAGTCCAGTGGTTCTGAAATTCTCTCTGGATAGAACCTTCTGAGGACCATGTTTGAAATGCAGATTCCTGGAGCTCCCTCCACGCCTAGGTGTTCTGAATTGGTTGGGGAGAGAAGGAAGGTAAGGGCGACCAGGAATCTGCATTGGTAACACAAGGGCCAAGCAATTCTGATGTTGCCATCTCACAGACTTAGACAGTGGCACGTGGCCTCGTAACACACGTGAACTACACACATTGAGCACAGTTTAGGGTATTCAAAGTAGAGCTTTTCAGTATCAGGTGTGAGCCTGACCGACCAGAGTTGGCTTAGAGTTCAGGTCTGCCCCTTGACCTGCAGACCCAACAGGAAAAAAGCCTGATTCTGGACCAGAGAAACACACTGACCAAGCCATGTTTTCTGGGTGGTGCCCATCATTTCTGGGGTCTGTCTTTACCTATCCCTCCCCAACACAGGGTTCTGCTATTTCTTCTCACTCTCCTCCTCCCTTAACCTTTGCACACAATTTCTAAGTACTGACTAGCCCTGGTTGGAAAGCCTCAGCCTCACTGGCCTAGGCCTTCCTGCCGGTTCCCACCGTCCACTGGAGAGCTCCATCACGCTCAGGGTCTTCGAGGCACCTGAGCCACCTCCTCCTCAGGTCAATCGTGCTCGTGTGACAGAAGGGCCTTCTTTAGGACTCCATCTCTTTTGCACCATAGTCCCTTTTTCGTTTCTGGCCATGAAATCCTACCTATAGTTTTCTAAACTCTGTAATCTACACCTCATGAAAGGCGAGCCTTCTAGACCGCAGAGCTGGACTCTGCCCTGTCTTGGAGCGATATCTCTGCTTATCCAGGCCCTCCCTGGCTAGAAGCTGGGCACAGCTTGTGCTCTTTTTTGTTTGAGTTTTCACACTTTTCCACTTTGGTCTCAATACCTTTCTACGCATCGCTGTGATCTTGGCAATGAGGCATTTTTCCTTCTTGGTGAGAAGTATATCTAGATGCTTGACCCTCATCTTTCCTTCATCTTCTCAAAGACGAAACCGACATGTCAAAAATCTAACAAATGCACTCTTTTGGCAGAGTGAACGTTCTAGTAAGGGTTCAAAGAGCTGAAATACATTCTTATTTTTTACCACATCTTGCCCCTCTTTGGATTCGGGATGCGGAAGCCATGGCCTACAGACGCTGGTAATGGCCTGCGGTCCCTAAGTTTTATGGAGCCCCCATGGTGAGATCACTTCTGATACTCTCTCCCTTCACCTCCACCCAGATACTCTCCATCACACTTCTTCATGCAGGGTTCCGGCTTTCTGTGTACTTTTATCATTTTTGGACACTTACTGCCCCTCTGCCACCACTTATTTCAGGGCTTCCATATTCCAGTCTGAGCCCTCTGTTTCAGGGGTATCTGGGAAATACTGATTTCTTCCAGGCGTTAACATCTCAAGTTCCCTTTGCTTAATACTCACAACCTCCTAACTTGAAATCAGATTTTCCCTTTTTTTTCCATGCAAATTAAGGGATTCTTCAATCGCTCACTATGTCCCACGTTCTCTGATGAACGAATAGCCAAGGGCTATAGTTTCACCTGAGTGGCTTTCCCACCTTCGCGAATTCTAGCTCAAGTCTTGGTGAAGTTACTGCAACTCTGACAAGCACATCTTCCCTGACCTTCACAGGGTGAGTTGTGGCCCCTGCCATGACAGTCGTTCCCTAGGTCATCCGCCTGCCAAAGGCAATCAGGAGTTTCGGAAACCCTTACAAAGGAATTGACAAGAGATGGCTTGGGCTCGTGACCGACCGTGTTGCTGACACGTGGTGGTGCTTTCTGCCCCACGGCCAGGAAGCCCTCGATGGCGGGTCACGGCGCAGCTGGATCTCAGAGCCAGACCTCATTACTTGTCCAGTGTCAGTCTTAACGTTCGTAAGTCCCCAGTGCTGACCTTTGTCCTGCCTGTAGCTGCTGCTCGTATTTGCTGAGGTGGGAGAAGGCCTCTTGCCCCTCCTGTTACAGTGCCTTTATTCGAGTCCTCGGAGGCAGCCTTACTTACCAGTCAGCATTCTTAGAGGAGCCTCGGATCCACCACCTCACAGCTGGTCAGACGCCTCAAGGACACCACTCAGACCCAACGTCCAAGGGCTCTTGGACACTGGTTTCCTGCTGACGGGGACCTGCCTCCCAGTCCCTCAGGGCCCGGCCACCCTGACGGTCCTGAGCAGCGGCAGCCCTGCTGACACGGGCACTGCCCACCCAGTAGTAGCTGGGGGCGGCTTGCGTTCTCTTTTTGTTTGAGAATCTAATCCCAGCGAAGTGGGGTGAAGAGTATGAGTTGCAATGTTCTTTTCACAACTTCTACCTAAATGAGAATTTAAGACTCCCCAGACCCCACGTCCTCCTCCTCTCTGTCCCCTGTCACAACAAAACTCTTGAATCAGGAGGTCTAAACAGGCTGTTTCTACTTTCTCATCTCCCATTAATCTGCCTTCTGTCCTCATGACACACTTGAAGATGATCGTGTTAAGATCACCAGTGTGTCCTGGTGTTGCCAGGACGTTTCTCGTTCCATCTCGCTGGCCCTGGTCTCTGCGGCACTGGACAGCGAGTGTTCCCTCCCTGAAGGAACCCCCTCTCTGTGTTGCCTGACCTCATCCCCAATGCCAGTTCTTCTCTCCTTTCCTGCCTCCTAGCCGCCCTCTAACTTCTGGATGTTGGGTTCCTCAGGGCTTGGGCCTACTACCTCTTCTCTTTTCTAAGTGATTTCACCCAGTCCTACAGCTTTCAATACCTTCCACAGGTTGACAGTTCTGGAATTTATACCTGCAGCCCCCAGAATATGTCCACCGAGCATATGTCCACCGAGACATACTTGCTTCAAGTACAATGTACTGGACATTACCGCTTGGCTAACACACATCCCAAACATGTCCAAAGGTGAGTTACTAATTTTCTTGGCAAACTCCTCCCAAATCTGTTCCTTCTCTCATATTCTCCACCATCTCAGTATATGGCATCACCCTCCACTCAGCTGATTAAGCCAGGAATCTGAGTCATCTTTGATTCCTCCTTTTCTTTCGTCCACAGAGAAGCCATCAGTAGGCCCAGGTGGTTCTACCTCTAAAATACGTTCTACATCAGCCCACTTCTCTACTGCCCCCACTCAGGTCCAAGTCTCCAACGTCTTTTGCTTGAGTTAGTTATACTCTCCTAATCTGTCTCCACTACCACACTCATCGCCTTCCAAGTGACTGTCCACATGGCAGGAAGAATGCTCTTGACAAGATGTAAGTCATAGCATGTCACTCTCCTGCTCTGAACATCTTCAGTTCTTCCCATTGCATTTAAAATAAAGCCCCAAAGCCTCACCACAGCCACCAAAGCCTTGTCTCCTGCTCACCTCTAAACCTCACCACAGCCACCAAAGCCTTGTCTCCTGCTCACCTCTAAACCTCAGCCCATGCCACTCTATCCCTGGAGTGTCTGCTTCTCTCCAGCATATATAAGCCCTCTTCCCATTCTTAGAATAGGCTAAGTTCTTTCCTGCCTCCGGCCCTCTGTACTTGCTATTTCCTCAGCCTGCAAAGCCCAGGTTACCTGGCCTCCAGAGAGGGACCTGATGACCACCCTATGTGGAGGAACATACACCTGTGATACTCTCATGGCACCGGGCTACCTGTCTGCCCAGCAGACTACAAGCTGCCTGAAGGCAGGGACCCTTCTATCATGCTCCGGGTTGCAGCCCCAGTGCCTGATACATAGATGATCAAAACTTAACAGTGATCTAGATATGGGTCCTTTCACCTATAGGATTCTTAAGGGCCTATCTTCATATGCCACAGTTCCCCAAAAAAGGTATGCAGTTTAGGGTCTGCAGCACCCCTGAAAGTGTACTGCTAAAATCTCCTTCAAGACAACCAACCAGCTGTGGGAAGTCTAGTTGACTGATAGCCCCTGCGGTTGCCTGTTTGGACCCACTACTGTCTTCATGCTAGGCTATGCTCTCCACCCCCTCCCCAGGCTGCCCCCGGCCACTGACGGCTGAGCGAGGGGAGAGTGCTGGCCCATCCCTGCCCCACACGGGGTTTCTCTCCTGGGCAGCTTCTGAGGGCACCCCATGGGTCTGGCAGAAGCTTGCTCAGAACTGCACTGCAATCTGAGGGTTTTGCTACCCCATTCTTCCCTTCTTCTCGCCTTTCTCCCTTCACAGGTTTGAGAACTGCACCATGGTCCAAAGGCTTTTATAGGCTATTCCCGCTCTCCCCCTTTTATCCTTCATAGGCTCTCCCCCTAATCTGTTAAAAATTCCAATCCTGTTTTGACATCGGCTTCCCAGAGGCCCCTTCAGAACCTTGAAAGATTTGAGACTATAAACCAGGGTCCAGAACAACAAAGTCTCCTATTTGACACTATGTATAAAACCATCTGTTCACTTCCCACACCCCTTTTCCAGGCATGACCTTCAACTAAGAGAGATTAAAAAATACCACCTATGCCCTGGAGCCCTGGTTTACCCCCCAGGGCTCCAGATCACTACAGGTAGTGATCCAGTCCAGATTTCATTTCACATTTGTTCCCACAGGAGAATGGGTAACCACTGGCAGACCTGATCAATTCTGGCACAACTCAGGTCCATGCTCCAGAAAGGCAGCCTTAAATTCATGCTCAGGCATCTATAAATCCCTCAGTCACCAACTCCTGCCCCTTGTTTTGGTACTAGTGACATAATGTTTGCAGCAGCTAGTGACTAGAAAGCTTCAGTAATTTTGTGGAGGATAAAACCTGCTCTCTTCAGGACAGAGAACCATATGCGATTTTATAACTTGTATGTATATATATATATGTGGCATCTCTTTGCCTTCTCTGATTGAAAATCAGTATTTATTTAGTCCTGCTCCGTGTAAACTCCATGAATACCAAAACTGTGTATCTGCTTCATTGCTGTACCCCATAAAGGCACTCAGTAATTATTTGTTGAGTAAACTGTCCTATAGGTTATTTCACACGATCTCATTTAAGCCTCAAAACAACACTGGGACGTAGGTATTATGTTCATTTTACTAAAACTCAGAAGGATCAAGTGACTTTCCCAACGTTCCCTGGCACTCTCCAACAATTCAGACACCGAACATTCAAACAGCTTATATGGGGTCAGATAATTAAGTTGCTTATTGTGTTTGGCTTACATTTATTGAATACTCTGCTCCAAGCACTTAATAATACTTTTATCACATTTAAGAGGTAATTAACTTTTTATCATCCTTATTTTATGGCTACATTGAATGACTTGCCTAAGGTCACATAGGTAAGGGGCAGGGTTGAAACTCAAACACAGGTGAGTTCAGAGCCCATGTTCTAAATTCTCACACCACACTGCTTCATTCCAAATGACAAGAAACAATCACTGCCCCCCAGACTTTAAAAGAACAGATAGCTACATCTTTGGGAGACTAACAAAAGGTCTGGTAGAAGCAGTAAACCACAGGGCAGAATTACATTTTACCTTTCCCTAAAAGAAAAGTAAATGGATCTCAGTGTTAAAACAGTAGCTCGGGGAGATCAGGTTTGACAGCGATCTTGTCATTGGCAGTATTCTGTTGACACTGACACTACATGACTTAAGGTACCCACGTCAAGATCTAATGATAAAAGGACAAAACAAAACGGGCAATGTCCTCTCAGGCTGCAGTGGAAAAAAAAATTGTGTATATGAAAAAAAGAGAAGGTACAACAGTACAGAAGAGTTCAGAGAGCTAAGCAACCATGTGATGTTCTGCCTGAGGTTTGGTGTTCCCAGCAGTTTGGCATTTGACCATTTTAATCATACATCACATTCCTATACTCAGTACTAAGAAAAAATTTGCCAAATGTAGGTTTTTGGATTATCCACTGCTGTGCCATTCAGCCATCCTTGAAAAAGACAGGGATGAACATTCAAAATATGGTATTTAACAACTAGTAGGGCATGGGCTAATCAGACCAGATCCTGGACCAGTGCTGGTATGTGGTCCAACAAGCCCCTTCTCTGCCAGGTGTCACCCCTCTAACTGCTGCATCATGAGGAGGCTGGTGGGGGGCTGAGGGACAGGATGGCTGAAGCAGTAGGCATCACTTGGGGTAGTCAGGCCAGTGGTTATTCCTAACTAGACAGAAGTATTTTAATATGGTAACTGGCAGGGCCATACAGGTTGGTATGGCTAAAAATCAGCTCTGGACACAGGTTAACTGGGCACCAACTGGTTTCAACCCTTTAAGTGGAAATGTTTGACACTGGACTTTTTCCTTATTTTATTATAATTATTTTAATAAAGAACCAGCTTAGAATATGAGAGAGCCAAACCTCTATGTTTGGACTTAAAGGTCACTTCATTGTCTTGATGCATTAAAAGTATTTTCTTCGAAATGCACTTTTCCTTTTAATCTGTCTTCTCCCAGGAATCTGATGGTAGGCACAACAGCCCACAACAAGTAGATTTATTCTCTTAGGCTTGTAGTTAGACTTTCAAGAACCAAACCAAAAAATACTAGTAAACTTCACTTTCTATGGTCATGTTGACACTCTTTATGGAAATGGCATTGAAAGCTGAGCCATGACATCAAGCTGCAGGCCTCCCTCACACTGGGAGCTTTTGCATATACCAGCAGTCTGTGGCATTTTGTTAAAGTGGCAGGCTTTCTTATTAGAGCCTAACACAAGCCAATTAAAATCTGGTTTTATATAGAGTTGGTGAGCTTTGTAGTTAGAGCTTGCAAGGTGTTTTAAATCACAGTGACCCAGTTTAGTTCAGGAGCAGTCTTTGTCAATAGGTTGACCACTGGTCATAGGACTTTCTAGCTGTAGACAGTGCAAACGATCGTTAAAAAATAGTGGCATTTTGAATTTGAAATATCAAAACACAAACTAATCAACCCACCAGTCAACAAAACCAAAACAAAAGGAAAACCACTTGCAAGGTATAAATGAAAAAATAAGGGATTTTACTTATTTTATATCTGTACGTATTGGTTGAACTGCTTATCATGAAGAACTAAAAATGACCCTCAACAAGACTAATAAAAAACAAGATAACTTTGAAGAAAAGTTCCAAAGCATTTAAGAGCTAAGGTATTTCCCACTGCTATTCCTTCAAAATATCACAATCTTCAAATATTTGGAACACTTACACGTATACAGACTGGATGTCCCGGTCCAGCAATGCATTTGCACAAGTGCCTCTTCCAGGGAGTGCTACCTTGTGGACAGCTAACAAGAAACACATTTTTGTGTTTTAATTTCTACCAAGTACAGGAACAGAGCTCAATGCTCATTACCCAATAAAGCAGGTGGTTATCCTCATTTTAGAGAGGAGGACTGTGAGATTCAGGGATATGACTTGAGTTTACTATTCAAAGTCACTTAGATTCTAAATGGCAGAGATGGCTTTGAACCCAGGTTTACCTATAGGCTGAGAAAGAAGCCAATGCTATTTCCTCTACATCACTGACTCGAAAATATTTTCTTCCTGCTACAAGACACAGGCCATTTGACATTTGCATGTCTGACATACAGACAGGCATATCTAGGGCCATACATATGATTCCTGACTTGGTGGCTTTAATCGGGTTCTTTCTTTCCCTCTGGAGAGAGCATGCTGAAATGCAACTAAGTGGTATTCTTGTGAGGGATAGTCTCGAATCCATCCTAATTCACAGTCTACAAACGTTGGTACGTAAAACAGTCATGAGTTAACATCCAGCTTTTCACGGCTGTAAACCACACACTAGCACACTGCACACCACCCACCCCTCAAAGGGCTTTACACCTGAACAAAAGCACTTCAATGTACTTTTAAAAACTCCTCACAGCGCTACCAAGAGCTTCCAAATGGCTCCTCCACCACTTCCCCAGGCAAACGTTCTGGACACACAGCCTTGTAACCAATGACAGCCAGTGTGTGTATTTTTAACTCAGAAATTCCACTTGTAGGAATTTTTTCAAGGAAATAGCCACTGTTACATTTGTCAATTTAAAATAGTAAAATGGATCTCAGGGGTTAAACTGTGGCCAGAGAGGATATCACAAGGTTCATATCTCCTTGTTCAACCAACAGCGAATGAGTAACTCGAGGTATGCTCTATTTTCATGCTACCAATGAAGGCTGGTACATTTTATACATCCCTGAGGTTGGAAACATCCAAGAGCATGGGTTCAGAGGCTATATTTAAATATGGCCTATTTAGTCATTTCTAAATATTTTATGTCAACATTTTAATTATAAATTAAGCCTAAAATTATAAATTAGGCCTAAAAAATGAATGCCCTCACAGTTCCTTTTAAACTGTCAGCACTTCTTCCTGTCAACTACAAATAGGTTTCTCCGGCCATCAGGGCTTTAGGTCTCTTGGAAAAAGGCCTTGGTGGCATGGATAGACGTCTGCCATGTGACACTGCCTTGCTTTTCCAGTCAGTGGTCTACACCTGCTCCTTCCTTGCCACTCAGCTTCCATCCCTTCTAGTTTCCTGAAACCACACTCCCTTGACCTCAGGGGAACATCTGGAGGATGAACCCTGCTGTTAAGAGTGTGTTTAATCCAGGCTGGCACAAAGCGGCACTCACTGAATGAATGGTAGTTCACAGCCCTGACTACCCAGCTTTTTTTTGCTCACTCTTCGCTTCTGCGGGCCTGTATATCCTGGTAACCCTCCTACCCCTTCGACTGCTCTTTCAATTACGGTTCCTAGCTCCTTCTCTACCCATCCTCTAAAAGTGAGGGCTTTCCAAAGTTTTATACTCAGCTGTTTGTTCTTTTGACTATATACTGCCTTACAGATATCATCTATTTCTAGGTTTCAAAGATCACCCGATGCATATTAATGCAAATCTCTCTTCAGTCCTGACTTCTCTTAGGTCCCAGCATCATGTTCAAAACTACGTGTGCTAAATACTCAAAAGAAGTTGCCACCCGCCCCTTACCAGTCTACTTTTCAAGGGCATGCATCTTACATTCTTCACATGCTTTGCAAAACATTTTATACACGGCATGGACCCTTCTTACATTTCATATCCTTTTATTAATTTACATAGATCTATGCACCTGTAAGTTGCTAGAAACTCTTCAGCTTAAAAACAAAAGGGAAACCAAGATCCCAAGTTCTATGCCAAAGAGCAATGGTTTCCAAAGTGAGGTACGTATGTTTCAGGTGCTAAGGCAAGACCATCTACTGGTATGTGGAAAGAAAATATTAGAATTTTTTTTCATATTATCCTATTTTAATGTCTTTTTGTGAAGGCTTTATAATTACAACAAAAGTACACGCATATGATTTATAAATACATTAGTAGTGTATAGAATTTTTTTTACTGACAGAATTTGCTATTTAAGTATGGAGTCCACTGACATCAAGAATGGTCTTGACACACTATATTTATATTATTACAATACCATTTGCCAGGTGATAAAAAGAAGCACCTCTAAACTAAGTTTGACATCTAAGGGCCTATTAAAATACTGACCGTAAATACACCCTGCTGTCAGATGCACATCTCAAATCCAGATGTGATGAAGGCGTCCTGTCTCCGATCCTCACTCAATATTCCCATTTAAAATTTATAAGCAACTGAGAAAGATGAGGACAAATAAAGATCAAGCAGTTTATATGTTACAATAATAAGAGCAGTTCTTCCCACTACTTTTTCTATTTTCCTTTTGATAAAACTTGACTGAAATACAGAACAATCCAAGCGCCCCCAGCACTGTGAATTACTTGATATCACAGGATTGCGGAGTAAGAAGAGATCTTGGAGCCTATCTACTTTACCTCCTGCCAAGTACTAGGAAATCCGGATGCACTGTCCCAGACATGATCAGCAACACCTTTGCTAAGAACTTTGGGGAACAGATGCTCGTTCCACTAGGTAAGCCATTCTGCTACTGGATAGATGCAGGCATTGTAATGATTCTTCTTACAATGAGGTCATCTCCACTCATGGCTTCAGATCTGCCCCCTAGGACAGCAAAACACTGCAAGGGAGATGCCTGGAAAGCTGCTAACACGGGCTACCGTCTATTCACCATCCTCGGCCTCCTCCTCCTTTGAATGGAACCTAGCTAAGCAATGTTTCACTTAAAAACAAAAAAGACACCCAAAATCAAACACCAGTTGCAAATAAGAACTGGCAATGAATGAACGAAGATGGCTTTGTGTAATTAATGTGTTCTAAACCAAGGTTGCATTCCCACCTTCTAAGGCAGAGATATCATGCTTGACCCATAAAAAGCCTGCAATAAACTAACACATTGGCTCTCACGTGAAAAAATGCCAAGACGGATTCCTGTCCATATTTTGGACTTGCAAATGCAATTTCTAAAAATCCTAACTAGATTTACATTTCTCCCACCTAAACTGTTTCTTGTTGGTTTTACTTGTGTTTCAGCCCAAAATCTTTCTGAATTGTAATTCTCTTTTAGCTTCCCTCCATACTTTGTGTCCCCCGTAAACTGATCACATGCGCATGCACGCACGCGCGCACGCGCGCACACACACACACACACACACACACAATTTAAACTGGACAGGACAGAGTTTTATGGAACTTGACATGTTGACAAATAACTACTAAACACATCAAAACAGAAGTTCAAAATTAAAGTCCACTCAAATGTACTATTGCCTATATGAAATCTTGCTATCACGATTACAATAAATTACTCTGCCTTGCTGAAATTAAGATATATTATCAAGCTCTCCCTTGATTTCTTCAAGTGTACTTTTAAATGCATCTCATAAAAGGACAAATATTTTGCAAACTATAAAGTATTCTACATGTACAGCATTGCCTGTAACAAGTACTCTTTATGGCTTAAGTTATCTAAAAAAGTAAATCCAAAAAAGTTTTTTTAAAATAATAACCCACAGGGCTTCCCTGGTGGTGCAGTGGTTGAGAGTCCGCCTGCCGATGCAGGGGACGCGGGTTCGTGCCCCGGTCCGGGAAGATCCCACATGCCGCGGAGCGGCTGGGCCCGTGAGCCATGGCCGCTGAGCCTGCACGTCCGGAGCCTGTGCTCTGCAACAGGAGAGGCCACAATAGTGAGAGGCCTGCGTACTGCAAAAAAAATAAAATAAAAAAATAACCCACAAAAGCAATGAGAATGGTTTCTTGCAATTTAGGGAAAGCTCCATTTGAAAACAGTTGCATGCTCTGCCATAAACATTCAAGTAGGTACAAAAATAAGGCAATTCCTCTTCTTAAGGATCCTAAAAGAATGGTACAAATAATGCTGAAAAAAGACTACTCCAAGTGGCTATGAGAGTTAGAATTGGACAGTGTCAGGAAAAGTTAGAGACAGGCCTCAAAGGAACAGAAGAGAAGAAAGGTGGCACTCTAATTAAGAGGCAGAAAAATTGTGTGGAGGCAAGCAAGGGGTAGTGAGAGTTACTCAGGAACAGCAAGCAATTCACTGTAGCAGGAGCATGGGATCAAATACGGCAGTGGAAGAGGCTGGCTGCTAAGCACGCGCTGGGGCCAGATGTGGAGGACTCAGTCACAGCCAAGGCTTGTGTGTGCACCTGGTGGGCAAGGGAGACACCTAACAGCTTCGGAGGAAAGGGGTCTGACTGGAACTACACATGAATTTAGTCCAAGTGAGGAAAAGGGAGGTTCACAGTAAAAAGATAATGTATGTATTTACCTAGAGATTAAGAGCACATTTACAATCCTGCACATCCTTTAATAGTCTCTTTTGTGCTTTCTGAAAATCAAGACACAAATTACCTATCTCTGGCCTTCTGGGTATCTTCTCATCTGTATCACTTTCCTAGAATGACAGTAGTTCAGATTCAACAATGTCAAGTTCTACAAATTCTTATAGCTTTCTGAGTTGTAATTAATCAAGGCCAAGTGAAAACTCAATGAGACCATGTGTCCCTTTGGTATTTCATCATATCGGGTTTGTTTCATTTTTACAGTGAGACTTTTACAAAATACATGGCATATAAATAGGACTTGCTAAGGCAGCGCTACCCAACACCCATTCCTTGTTATTGCTGTTTAACTCAGGAACTTTGCCCTTCTAAAATTTACTCTCCTGGCACTATTTTTAACAGTTTGCAGTCATGTTTCATGTTTATTGTGTACTCCTCTTTCCCACATTTAGTACATTTTTAAAAATGCTGACCTTCAAGAAAAAAAATCAGCATTTGAGTTGAGTACTGAAGAAGGGATGGTATTACATCCACATGAAGAGACTGGGCTTAGATGGAGAGAAGAGAAAGCATTTCAGTTAGAAAAAGCACAAGCAGAAACAGGCAAAAAATAAGAAGGGTATGTGTGAGACACATTATGTACTGAATACTACATTTCCGTAGAAGGGCAGGGGAAAGGAAGAGAGTGGGAGGAAAGCTAACAGTTACTGAGCACCAATGACTCGGCAGGTACTCATACTCAGGATGTCATTTACTCCTTAAGTCAGAACAATTCTTTGAGGTAAGTATTAGTTTCTGCATTTTATAAAGGGACTGAAGATACCGTAGCTCAGAAAGGTGAAATAACCTGTCCGAGTTCACTCAGCTAGGGAAAAGAAGAGCTAAATGTGAACCTAGATGTTGACCTTTTTCTTATGGGTCATTTAACTACAGCTTTAAATAATCTCCTATTTAGGAAGGAACTCTGTTCCTATCAGAAATACTCCTGGCTATTCAAAGCAAGGCTTAAATACAGTCTATTTTGTTACTCTGAAAATCCATATATGGAATTATGAAATAACAGAACTTAAATGCAGATGAGAAATCTAGAGAGATCTAGAAACACGAAAGGCAATTTTGTTACTGTAACTCGAACCAACTTAACATACTAAAAATTACTGTCCTATTTCTTCATTAACAGGCAGGTATCAATAAATCAAAAACAACTTTCATCGGCCCTGAATAGAAAATATGCATTAAATGCAAACTGTGGTTTTATACTTTATCTGTTAAGATGTCCAGCAAATAGTGTAGACAGATCCTATAATTTTTGTACTTTGTGTAAAATAAGTTATGGGTTTCACAACCCTAGCTATCTATTGTCCCCTGGCAAGTTCCAGTTCTTCTTAGTTTACTGTGGATAGTAGACTGAATATAGTTAGAGGACCCCAACAAATAAACTGGCAATGGACAATTCACAAAAATAGGAACTATAAACGGTTAACAAATTAAGATGCTCAGGCTCCACTAGAAATTAAGGAAATACGCCATGCTTAAGCTACCAAATTCATGGAAAAGTGCTAGTATTCAAATGAAGGTGATGCAAAAACATTCAAGGTCAAGTGTAACCTGCTCCCCTATACTATCCAGCCTTCAACTCAGGTTCTCTCATCTTCTATTTTAATAAACTACTACACATTCTTCAGAATCTCATCCCCTATCTCCTTGCAAGAACTTTAAAGTTTATGATGCTTAATTCTAAACGGAAATAAAGCCTTCTGTATAAATTTGAGAAAACCTAAATGATCAACAACAGAGGAATTGTTAAACAACACAAAAACCTATAGCAAATCTATGCAATGGATCATTATACAGCCACAAAAATTCACTTACACGAAGTTTATAACATGAAAAAAACCTCCACTTGTTATAATGTGAAACGGCAAAGTACAAAAACATAATGTGCAAAAAATGACATGAAAGTATGCATTAACTTAAAAAATATATTTGCATGTATGCATATGCACATGTGTGTGTATGTGAGAGAGAGAGAATATTCACCAAAAAGTTTCTGTCATGGTGAATTTTTAAAATTCAACTTTAATAAATTCTCTAGAATTCAATACATAATAAAAATGTATCACTTTTATGATGAAGTAGACAACAAATATCACAAAGAAACATACTGTGTGTAGCCTGGGACCATTTAGAGCAGAGGCAAACAGCCCTAAACACAGCTCTTTGGGTCCTAGCAGTACCACTGCACTACAGCAGAGCAAACTTCTACCTGTAAATCTGCATTCTTAATGACCTTGAATGATCCAAAGTTAAATTATGGACAAGGAAAGTGCAAGAGGTTGTAAAAAAGATCTCTATCAAAACAGTACCGACAGCGTATCTCACTGTTAAATATTAATCCTCCTAATAACCTAATAACATGTCACTCCCCTGTCCCCAAACCCTGAAAGTATCCCCACAGTGTTGTCAGTAATATGAACTATTCACTGCAGGGTATGCACATCGCACAATCCAGTCCCATTCTAATGCTGCTCCCCGCTCTCACCCCATGGGCTCAAAGGCTCTCATTCACAAGCCTTATGCTCTGGTTGGCCTACTCACTTTCTCTCAAAGAAACTTTATGTACTTGCCTGAGCTTTTGCTCACTCAGCCACCCTCACTTTTCTTCCCCTATTCACTCCTCCTCCCCCCCCCAGTGACTCCCCATGCTTCCAGGCACAGACCAAACTCTCCAACCCACACATCATCTCCTTCCTGTATATTCCTGTAGAAGTTATTGCCTATAAGACACACAAAGCACCTAACCCTATAGCCTAAAATTACGTAAATAAATATGTTATCTCCTAAAATGCATTTTAATTTCTAAAGATTAGGGACCTTTGTTATATATTTTATAATAATAAATTGCTTTTATATAATGCTTTAGTTTATAAAGCAACTTCACATATATTACTCTCAACAAATATGTTGGTAACTTAGAATGCCTTAAGAAAACAGAAACAAAAAAAATTTTTTTAATGACAAAAGATTTTTTAAAAAGAGAACACTTCAATAATGATGGGCAGAAAAGTACTCACTCAGAGTCCACCACCTAAAGATCTGGGAGAATGATACTTTTTTTCCCCACAACCCACAGATATATTTAGCTAATGGTGGGAAAAAGTTCAACATTCATAATTAAAAACAACAAAACAAAACAAAACAACCCTCATACCCAGTGTCCAGATCTTGGTTTCTAAATACCATTCTCCAATAAAAAAAAATACCATTCTCCAATCAGGTCTCTCTGGAGAAATAGTTCATTCCAGAGCTGGGGCAGGGGACATAAAAGATCAGCCAGGAGCTTCTTGTAGTAATAAGGAAATGCTCAAAAAGGGATGGGGCATGTCAAAGGGACGTGTGAGCCAATCTGAAAGAGCGCCCAATGGCCAAAGCCAGAATAAACTGAACAACAAAATAAATAAGAGTATTGGACTTCCCTGGTGGCGCAGTGGTTAAGAATCCACCTGCCAATGCAGGGGACACGGGTTCAAGCTCTGGTCCGGGAAGATCCCACACGCCGCGGAGCAACTAAGCCTGTGCGCCACAACTACTGAGCCTGCATGCCACAACTACTGAAGCCTGCGTGGCTACAGCCCGTGCTCCGCAACAAGAGAAGCCACTGCAATAAGAAGCCTATGTATCGCAACAAAGAGTAGCCCCCGCTCACGGCAACTAGAGAAAGCCTGCGTGCAGCAACGAAGACCCAATGTAGCCAAAAATAAATTAAAAGATAGAATTTTAAATAAAAAAATAAATAAGAGTATTGGATTATGAGTCCATATGGGTATAAATAAGTGACTGAATAAATAAATGCAGAGAAGAAACAAATCTTCCTTATGGAAGAATTCTAAATTATCCCCTCCAGCAGGTGGAGCTAAATCCCTACGCCCCTTGAGTAAGCGCTGGACCTACTTTGAAAAGATAGCATATGGAAAGAAAAAAATAGTAACTTTCCATTGGAGAAACCTGATAGACAGCACCTTAACCAAGTGACAGAGGCTAACATCACTAGTGATGTCATGTGGGGATCATCCATCCCCAAGATGGTAAGAAAGGCACTTCACCTTTGTGGTCTTCTTTCCAAAAACCCGCTACCCCAATGTAACCATAAGAAAAACATCAGACAAATCCAAATTGAAAGACATTCTACAACATACTTCCATGCAT